ATGAATAATAAATAGTCTCAAGTCACTAAAGTGAATATCCTACACGTGTGATATCAAAAATTGATGCAAACAATAAACTTTAATTTATTAAAGAGTTGAATTTAACCTCCATAAGATACCCGGAAATATACTTGATGGTCTTTCGCCTTGCATCCCAAGCCTTCGTATAAGATACCCAGACATTAAATTTAACCTCCATAAGAGCCATACTCTCTTTATGTTTTCAATCAAAACGACATCCAGTGTTTGGAAGAATGTAATAACAAATAAATTTAGATGTGCACTGACGGTGATTGCTAGTAAGAATTTTATATGCAAAAGAGTGATCACCAATTACAGATTATGTCTTCCATGCTCCCACAAGCCTCTTGTTCCTAGCTCCATGCAAACACCACAAGCATGATCGAGATGGATGGTCATGGTGCATAAAACTTAATCAGGATTTATTGGAAAGTATATCTCAATTTTAATATTTTTTAGTATGCACCAACTATTAACTATAAACTATAAGTTTGTTTTTGTGGAGAATGGCATGCCCTCATATAACTCATCTAGAATCCGCCCTTTATACATTGTGTTTATTTGACACGTTGAAGCTTCACATTGACATCCTTGTCTCAATTCTCTATTGTATGAGAAGCTTGAACATAATCATTGCGAGAAATCATAGCATCAAGAATGGATGCATTATTTGTGGAATGGTCTATAATCAATCTATGACCCATAACCTTTGTCGCATCTGTCTCAATTAGTTCATCTATTCTATTATCATAATCACTACCATAATCATCATTTGTGCCACCGACCAAAGCCTCATAACCTCCTCTCTCCTATGTAATTTGAGTATCATCTAGTGTTGTGTCATCAATATGTATCTAATGATGATGACTACTCAAAACAAGAATGCCTACAAGGAGTGTAGTTGTGGTAATTCATTAAATTGTCTTTTGAGATATCAATGCAATCAAGAGCCGAATATTTTGAAGGACCAAACTACTCAAAACAAGAATGCCTACAAGGAGTGTAGTAGTGGTAATTCATTAAATTGGCTTTTGAGATATCAGTGCAATCAAGAGTCGAATATTTTGAAGGACCAGCTACACTTGTAAGTAGAGTTTGAATATCACTTTCAGGTAAAACACTATAATCCTAAATTTTTGCATATATAACAAAGTTTAATTGTTGAGCAACTTATAGTACACACTGTAGTCTCATCGTCTTTAATTAGAGTTGCGACATAGCCTTGACCAATAGGAAATCAACTTACAAACGATTGATATTATGTGAGTTTTAGGATCACTATTCAGGGCACAAAGCACTTCACAACGTAGTTGATCAGAAGTTGAATATGTCAATATATACAAAGGCCGAAGACGACCTGCTATGTAGCTTGAGTTGAAGTTATCAGAAGTAACTGATTTACGATCTTAATATAACATAAATGTTGAAACTTGCCGACTCATTTCTTATTAATGAATCTATGTAATAATTTGTGATGAGTCAAGCCAATTGTCTAATATATAAGGACAATGATTTTTTGCTGTTGTTGAAGTTAGAAATGATGATTTTTTTTAGTTTATTATTATTATTATTATTATTATTATTATTATTATTATTATTAAATACTTATATTAATCTAATTATAACTAAACTTTTCTTAAATTATCAGATTTCTTCCGTCAATATTTATAAATATTCAAGTTTCTCGTTACAATTTCTCTTAATGTATATGAAAGTGTAATTGTAGGCTACACAAACTTCTAGGTGAGGAGGGCGTACAAGTTCTCTTAGGTCACAAGCTTTCCTTAGACAATTTATTTCTTTTTGATAAAGTTCTATTTAACTTTAAAACAACACCATGTTTAACAAATTAAAGTTAACAAAACTTATCTTGTCAGTCAAAGTATAAATTTGATCACCAGTTGTATAAATATGTTCACTAGTTAATATGATCATAATTTATGTGATTTGAAACTAAACTACCTTTTATGACAAAATGCACATGTCTACATAAGTAAAAAAATAAACTTGAAAAAAATGGATTATTATTATTATTATTATTATTATTATTATTATTATTATCATCATCATCATCATCATTACTATAATTCATTTATTCAAATTTTTACTATTATTATTAATATTGGTAATTATTATCATTATTTATTAAATATTTTTATCTATAGTTTTGTTCTTTTTTATTTTTAAAGTTAATAATAATAATACTTTTATAATTAGTATCACATTTATTATTATTATTATTATTATTATTATTATTATTATTATTATTATTATTATTATTATTATTCCTATTCTAATTTACTAATTTAATATATCTGAATGTTTTTATTTATATTACTTATACTTATTTACACACTTTGGATATTTTCATTTTTAAATATTTTTATTATTCCAATTATTGCTATTACCATTATGATAATATCACAATTACAATTACAATTACAATTAATTTTCAAATATTAAAATAATAAGAGTAATATTATTATCGCTATTACAATTATTATTATAATTATAATCATCATTATTATTACTTTGTAATTTTTATTATTATTAATAATTATTATTTTCTTATTAATAATATATTTGATTTTTTCATAGTTTTTTTATTATTTTATTGTACTTATCTATTATTAATATTACTTTACGAATAATACTATTTATTATTATTATTATTATTATTATTATTATTATTATCATTATTTATCATCATCATTCTTATTATTTTAAATTATAAAATTATTAGCATAATTTTATATTTTCGGTTTTCTTTTTTATTTAATAATTATTATTATTCATGATAATAAAATTATAATATTTATTTTATATTTTTAGTTTTCTCTTTTTATTTAGTAATTAATATATATTAATTAAAAAATTATGAATATTATTTATAATTTTGGTTTTATTTTTTATTAAATTATTATATTATTACTATTTTAAGTTATAAAAGGATTAAAAAGGCTACAAATATTCAACAAAATGTTAATGAACCTAAAAAAAATCTCTTCTTCAACTATCAAGTTAATCATATCGTCATATTAAAACAAGAAAAAACAACAACAAAATGATTTGATTAATAAGAATACATAAAATACACCAAAGTAAACGATAATAACAAAATATTAAAAATAGTAAATAAAAACATGAATATATAGCAAATGGGCGCCCTGAAAAAAAAAAAATCTGAGTAACAAGATGACGATAGTGGTTGTTGTGGGCTCTCTGCCTGGTGAAATATTTGCGTACATAAGATGTATGCAGCGCTGCGTACATCAGAGGTTATTCTGGGGGTACAGGGGAGTTATATCTGGGTTATACCGGAGATTACAAGGGGGCATAACCCAGATATAACCCTATTATACTCCCTGAATAACCTCTGATGTATGCAGTGCTGTGTACGCAAATATTTCTCTGCCTGGGTATTTAGGGACGTAAATTTATGAAATTCCACCGATTACTCTGCTTGCCAAAACCAGTACTCTTATCTCATTTAAAAATTTTATTAAATTTATGATCCTCTCTCATAGATATAAATGTGAAAGAGCAAATTATGGAAATCTCTCAATACCCAATTTAAGGAATTTAATGCTCTTTAAATTGTTTTATCTATTTAGCTCTTAAAAAAATTCTGAAATTCGTCCAAAATGCCCACCCGGCTTCCCCTCCTCCCCTTCCTCCTTTTCCACCTCATTTCTCCATCCTTTACCCTTCCTCCGGCGCCGCCCATCCATTGCAACTCAACAGCAGGCCGCTGCACAATCTCCAATGCCTTTGGGCCGTGGAACGATCGCCATCCCTGTCTCGTCCCCTCCGTCGTTTACCCTTCCACAGAAGAAGAACTACTCGCCACTGTGGCCTCCGCCCGCCGCCTCAACCTCAAGGTCAAGGTCGTTAGTGGCTTCTCCCACACAATTCCTAAACTCGTCTGCCCGCCGCCCACAGGCTCTCTGCTCATCAGCACCGCTAGGTACAACTCAGGCGTGGCAATCGATCCGGCACGGCGCACGGTGACAGTCGATGCTGGCACGGGGTTGCGGGATATCGTCGACGCGGTGGAGGAGGCGGGATTTAGCCTTCTGGCGGCGCCGTACTGGGAGGGAGTCAGTATTGCGGGTCTGATTAGCACGGGATCGCATGGGAGCTCGTGGTGGGGGAAGGGCGGGGCGGTTCATGAGCATGTCGTGGCGATGCGCTTAGTCGTGCCGGCAGAGGCGGATGAGGGGTTCGCCAAGGTGGTGGAGATTGATGGGAGTACGCCGGAGCTCCTTAATGCAGCTAGGGTGTCCATTGGGCTCCTCGGAGTGATTTCTAAGGTCGGCCCTCTCTTATTATATATATATTTTTTATTTTTTAAAAAAGAGTGATGGTTTTTGTGATCTACCGGTAAACCCGGGAGCTCATAGTCTTCCACATTCCTACCAAGAGAAAGCTCTTCACACTTTGATACAAAAGATGAAAAAACGGTATGTAGATAATAATGAAAGTTTAGTTGTATATCAAAAACATGCCAACATGAGTCATCTTGAAATTAATAGAAGAGGTAACATTACATGCACAAGTTAACCAACCTCCTATGCAGCAGGCTAGAGGATACAATTAACTATGTCTAACCTAATAATCTCGTCGCCGCCCAGATAGAACAGAGAAGACGAGTGGACTCCTATGGCTCCAGGGCATATAACAAAGGCCTTCAGTATGCAGCTGCTCTACCTCGCAACCCACTGTACTCTCAGCCACCTACTTATACCTTTGGGCCTCACCGGCCAATTCTACACACGGGCTGAAATACCCTCCCCTATGCCTATGTATTTTAGGGGTACATCATGTAATTTTGTATTAATTTATTCCTATAAATAGGGGATTGCTTCCATTAATAGAGAGTACACAATCTTACATTTCATAATGTGTTATTGCTCTCTCTTCCTCTCTCATCTCGCTATGGTCTATTACTTTGGCGTGTCTCCCGAACAATTTCAAATTCAACATCTTAAAAGATGCAGTGAATGTGGAGTTATCCCGTCAACAATAAGAGATGCAAACGATCCCAAAGAGAAAGGAGCAACTAGAAAATAGGTGAACTATGGAACCTCATGTTTGTACAAGGGGAAGGAGATCGTCCCCCCCATCACATTGACCAACGATGACTTTACCAAATGGGGAAACCCCTGTGAAGAAGCTATATTTGTTACAAGAATTATTAGTAATTTTCATGTTGGGAGTATTCTCATCGACATTTGCAGCTCCGTGGAAATTTTGTTCAATTCGATGTTTGATAAATTTAATCTTATGGTCGACAGGTTGGTAGCTGTCCCACTTTTTGGGTTTTTCAGGTGAGAGGAAGGAGGCGTTGGACACAATGCTATTGACAATCACCTGGGGGAAGGAAAAAAGCAATACATAGAGAAGAAAGTTTTCTTGATTGTAGAATTGCCTCCAACCTACAATGTCATTTTCGGTTGCCCGCTATTGAACCATTTCAGAGCCGTAGTGTCAACTTATCATGTCACGGTGAAATTCTCGGGGAATGTGGAGGTCATCACCGTTAGAGAAGACTTGAGCAATTTTAAGTTTATTACCTTCAACCGGTCGGCAGCGTAGAACAGGAGCCACTCGACTACAAAACTGAAGGGAGGGCGGTCTTGAGACCAATGAGGCAACCCGAGAGATTCCAGTCGTCTAGGGTGAGCCTGGTAAGTCTTTTCTAATAAGTGAAGGCTTTGATGCAAAACATCAAGAGCGCCTGATCAAGACACTTCGAGACCAACACAATGTTTTCGCCTGCTCCGCCACAGATATGTCAAGAATACGGGTCGGTGTTGCATTTCATAGGCTGAACATGAGTCTGATGTCCAACCCATCAAGCAGAAGGTGAGCAACTTAGTGACCATGCTGTTGGATTCATCAAAGAAGAGGTGTTGAAACTGTGTGAGGCAGGGTATATTCAAGAAGTGCAATACCCCACCAAACTGTTAAACGTAGTCATGGCCTAAAGGCTAACAAGAAGTGGTGGATGTGTGTCGACTTCACGAACTTGAATGCAACCTGCTCGAAGGAATGCAACCCGCTGCTAAGGATCAACATCCTGGTGGATGCAGTAGTGGGATGCTCTGTAATGATCTTCCTGGTCGCTTTCTTCGCCTATCATCAGATCAGGATGAACTTGACAGACTTCACCGAGAAAACAACCTTAATCACGGCTAAGGGCGTGTTCTGCCATAATATAATGTCATTTGGGCTTATGAATGTTGGGGAACTTACCAATGCTTCATGGATGTAATTTTTAAAAACTAGAAGGGAAAAAAATATCGATATGTTGATGATGTTCTCGTAAAAAGCTGAATAGTAGAATAACACATACAGAATCTAAAAGAAATTTTTTAAACTTTAAGGAGGTATAACATGAGGTTGATCCCTCCAAAATGCATGTTCGGAGCCTTGACTAACAAGTTCCTAGGCTACCTCCTAACCCTCGAAGGCATTAAAGCAAACCCCGACAAAATCTAGGTGCTGATTGACATGTCTCTTTGTGGAACACCTGGGAAATTTTGAAATTAACCTGACAGTTCCTAACCTTGAGTCACTTCATTTTGAGGTCGGGTGACAAGTGCGCAACATTTTTCAAAACTCTCCTAAAGGCCGAGAGTTTCTGAGTTATAGACGAGTGCCAATATGCATTTAAGAACCTTAAGAATGCTTTAGCTTCCCCAACACTTCTTCAAAGCCCGAAACCAAATGAAGTACTCTTTCTATACTTAGGCGTAGGAGCAATGGTGATTAGTTAAGTGAGTTCGATATCACTTATATTCCACGGACAACCATAAAAGCTTAGGCAATTGCTGATTTCCTAGCAAACTTCTCAGAGCAGGGGGGCCTGACTAAAAAACAATCAGGACAAACGGAAGTGATGGATTATATACATAAACGACACCTCAAAAAGGATTGTAGCGGGGCTCGGGCTTTCTTTGAGCGACCCTGTGGGAGAGCAAGTGTACCATTCAGTAGTGGTGGAGTTTGATGTGACAAACAAAAAGGCGAAATATGCGGCTCTAATAGTCGGCCTACTCGACCCTCATCATGAAAGCAGACTCACAACTTGTGATGAACAAAATAAATGAAGAATTTGTAGAGGGGGATGAGACGATGATAAGGTACCTCAACAAGGGCAAGATAAAGATTTGAAAATTAATGCAGTTTCAGATCAAGCACATTTGCTAAGAGGAAAATCATGTGGCTGACATGCTATTCCGATATGTTCGTTCATGGAACAGGGAACTGATCCCGATATTCTTTTTTATATGTAGAATTTAAGAAGTTGACACCACTACTTGAAGATTTTAATCCCCGATAATGACACCGAAAATTTGATCCGAAACAAAGTAAGATTTCAATTATATTTTTAGGGATTCTACGCAAGTATATTTATCATTATCAAATAATATATGGCTTCCTGATTAAGCCCCGAATATCGATCCCATAGAGATCGAGGTTAATCACGGCGACTTTCAAGAGAAATTCTAGTTTAGAATAACACGCCCTAGCTTGGAAGGTCGATAAAAGTTTGGTTTTGATTTTATCCTATAATTATCACAACAATACTACTTCTACTTCTAAATTAAAATACTTAGTGAAAGTCAGAAAGTGGGGTTTTTAATATATTTAAAATACTCTTCCTCATGCAATGAAAGTAGTGACATGTGTAAAAGTAAAACAAGTAGTGAGAGAGATTGTGACAAATATGAGCAATTATATTATTTACCCTTACTCGAGATGTTATAAAGAATATTAGTTAATCTAAAGTTTGAATAGTTTTGAAGACGGGCTAGGCAGAGAAGATACTAGTTCTTACTCTAGAGTCCCCTCTTAGCCCTCCACATGGAGGCTAGCATTTCACATCAAAACCTAAAACAATAGACCAAATTAGGGGCATTAGCCTGCCACTCTAAAGTCCTATAATTCCACATCCTTTAAAGATTATTTCCCTATTTATTTGCACTTAACTATATAGACTACATTCTCATCCATACAATCTCATGTGATTCTACCACAGTTGATTGAGACAATACCATCCCAGATCTTACATGTTCTCACAACAGATTTTAACATGCAAGTTGATCAAGTTTACATGTAAATGAAGAACAAACTAAAATCATCACAATATATTCTCACTCTACTCGATTCTATATCCTACACATGCATACTAATTCATTACAAGAGGGAAGAGTAAAGAAAATTACTCATTACACATGGAGAAACAACAAAAATTTTTCATTGAACAAGAATTTGAAAACATACAAAAAGGTATTAAATTCAAATCAAATTACAATGAAAATACTTATCTTTAATAGAAATCAAACTCTTCTTGCATAGCCAAAGCAATCTCCTTACAATTCTTTTCAAGAACAAAGTGAGAAAGAAAGAAAAAATCTCTCACACTCTCTCTTTCTCTCACACCTTGCTGCCCCGCTTTGGGGCTAATGCCCAAGCCTTCTTCTCTTCTTCTCCTCTTTCAATTAATTCAAGAGTCTAAGAGTTATTTTAAAAACATTTCCAAGCCTTTCTTTTATAATTTCCCAAGAGAAGATGCTTAAGTGTCTCTTCAAATTAAGTGTCTCTTCAAATCTGTCCAGATTCAATGAATCTTTCAAATGGTGCTCGAAGTGCCTCTTCAAAACTACATATAACCATCCCAAATTCTTCTAGAAAGTCCCTTTTCTCATTTCCAATGAATTCCCCAAGAGATGCACGAAGCAACCCTTAAAAAATCGTCCAAATCTGATGTATATTCTAGAAGATATGTTGAATACCGTCACCGGCGCCTAAGCACCGTTTTTGGGCGCTTAAGCGCCTCCCTCTCTATCTGGTGGCACCTAAGTACCAATTTGGGCGCTTAAGCACATGGCACAGGCACTTAAGTGTCTGGTTTAGGTCCCCTTAGCTCCGGTGTGCCCCGGTTCGACCCGGTTTGCTCCGATTTGCTCCGTTTTGGTCCATTTTTGTTCCTTTTCCTCCAAAAAACTCCAAATTCTTCAATTTGATGTACCTAAAACCAAAAACACAAGAAAAAATATATTTAAAGTGCAATATCATTATAAAATAAAGCTTAAAAATAAGTACATTTTTAGGCGTATCAAAATCCCCCAAACTTAAAAATTACTTGTCCTCAAGTAATACTACATTTTTAAAATAATTTATGTAGATTAGAGTTAATGGGTCATCCCTTAGAATTGTTAAATTTTTGTTCAAAAAATGTGATAGTTCAAATTAGAAGAACTTCTTGTGAATCATACTAGCGCAGGGTCTACAATATTTATCA